TCCTTTGAATGAATACTTCCAACTGCCTTTGACGTAAATTTTGAGTACTGCAGTAGCACTGTTCTAGAGTCACATGATCACTGGAATGTGTGGAGGCACTAGCTCTTGTTGATGCATTAGCACGACATACTTTAGCAAAGTGACCTTTCTTGTGGCATTTATGGCACATTGCTTCACGAGCAGGACACTTTGGACGTGGATGTCTTGAAAAACCACAAAAGAAACACACCGTACCTGCTGCTGTTGTCACTGAGGCAGGTTCCACAGTAACTTCATTGCAAGTCTTGGTCAGGAATTGCAGCACTTACAACTCGAGAAGGCTGAGTGGTACTGTATACTTCAGAATTCTTCTGGGCTGAATCTAGAGCTCTTGCCTGGTCGAAGGCAGTGGCTAAGTTGAGAGTTTTACTCTCCAATAAATGCTGCCTTATCATTGGTGATTGCAGGCCACTGATAAAAGCATCCCTGATGGACTCTTCACAATACTGAGCAGCTGTCACTGCTTGGAAGTGACAGTCCTTACCTAAAATTTTCAGTGCTTGAAGGTATTCCTCTAAGGATTCATCAGTCTGCTGGCGGCGAGTTGCAAGGCGATAGCGTGCAAAGATTTCATTTGTAGGTTTAATATACTGAGACTTGAGGGTTTTGATAGCATCTTCATAGGTATTACACTCAGAAATAGCCTCATATATCTTAGGTGACACAAAATTGATAAGCAGACTTAGTTTATCTAGATCTTTTTTAGGAATGGCTCCCAAGAAGTTTTCGAAAGTCTTAAACCAGTGCTTCCATTCCTGAGCAGCCGTTGATAAGCTGGGGTCACAGTCTAGCCTCTCAGGTTTCAGTAAACGCTCCATGTTGTGATGTAGTTTAGCACAGGATCACCACCAGGTAGCCCAGGATTCTATGTTCAATAAATTGTTGTGATAGAAACACAGGCCTTATCTCTAGGCTTTATTGAACATAGAATCTTCATAGTACTTCTGCAACAACAAAATATAATGACTAGTACATCTAATAACTGCTTCTACAGGGATGGTGATGTCTTGCATATGTCAAGAGAAAAGTTATAACTACAGGCCACATATTTAAACTCACCATGTAATCTGCATCACTAATATATTGATGTAAAAGAAGAGAATCACACACCATGTGTTGGCGCCCATGACACACACCAAACTGTTGTTGTTGTTAAGGGCCCCGAGAGGTGGTGCAGTATTATCCTGTTGCTGCTCCCCACAGGAGCAGTATCACTACAGATCGTATTTTTGGATTAAAACAGGGACTTTGCGGTACTTTTTCGTGTTTTTTACAGTTATATTTGTGACGCCTTGGTTTCATTTGATAAAATGGAAGATATATTACAGAAATAGAGATGATTTTGATTGGTTTTAGTACTGAAAATAGCTTGAAACTGACCTCAAAGCAGCAGAAAAGTTCAATTTTTTCTAATGTTCAAGAGTAAACAAATGATATCACGCATCTAATACACACCAACTGGTGGGTCTAATATGCGTTCACAAATGTGCTGATATTAGTTATACAATTATCACAATATTGCATAACAGCAAATCTTCTATTTTTTGATGTGAATAAAAATTCATTTTGTGAATAAAAAATTAAAATGGAATTCATTTCTAAAGCCTAAAAACATAACTAATAAACAGAGGAAATGTTAGTTTAGTGCCAGGAATGCCTGCATTGTTATTCTGGACCCTCTTTCGAAATTGTAATACAGTATTTTGAACTTTGTTTTAAAATGGCCAAATTACCAATTTCTGATCACTTTATTAGGTAGTTGAAACAGTTGACTGGGCGATTTCTTGTGCTCAATCGATAAAATAGAAGTAATACTAGCAAAACAACTAACAATTTGGATGACTGGAATAATGTAACTGACTTAAAATGGGAGTCAGTCAGCAAAATTGCCGATGCATAAATATTGCTGACAGAGCAAAATTCGTGAGTGTTATTTCATCAAATTTTCATCAAATTTCATACTTTTTTTTTATTACCTTCAGAAAAAGATTCTCTACCATTTCATAAGAAAAAATAAAAAGTTTTTATGAAAATTCTTAGACCCTGGCTGTCACTCTGAGATTTGACCTCTGGACCCTCAGAGGACTAAAAATGTGTGTCCGGGCAACAAAAATATAACAGGTAAGAAGTAGCAAATAAAATGTGCAACTGTGGTACAAATTATAATACAGTGGAACCTCTACTTGCAAGTGCATCCACGTTTGAGTTTTTCCAAATGTGAGCAGCCGATGGGTTGATTTTTTGCTTCCATACACGAGCAAAATTTCCACAAGCGAGCAGACCTCAAGGCAGGTTGCTTAATGCTGGTGAGGGGCTCTTGATCTAGGGAATTGTATCTCATTTGTTTGTTGGACTATCTTACTGAAACTTGGGCAATGTATGATGGAAAGATGCTTCTTAACGAACACCAAAAATGAAAGAAATCGGAGCATAAATTATTATTATTATTATAATCAAAAAGAAGCGCTAAGCCACAAGGGCTATACAGCGCTGCAGGGTAGGGAAGGAAGCAAGGGTATTGAATGGCAGAAGGGAGGAGGGATGATCAGTAGTTTACAGAAAACAGGGGGGCGGGGATATACGGGGGAGGGTAGCAAAAGATTGAAGTAAAAAGGCCGAAGGTATCAGAATTTGTAAGAAAGTCATTTTTGAAAAAAGTCAAGAGAGGTCGGGTAAAAGGGGGTCCTCACGAAAAAAGGTAAAAAAGGAGCACAGAGCGAAGACACGCGGAGGAAAAATTCGCGTGCCGTTGAAAATGGGCATCCAACAAATGGGGCTACTATAAGAACTGGAAATTTCTCACAAGAGGAGCGGGGCCCTCTCCAAAAATATCCATGAGAAAGACGATTTTGCCAATGCGAAGATGGGAGAGAGTAGTCCCCCAAAACCCGACACTGGATAAGAAGACGGCCAGTAACCTATACTCTTTTTAAAAAAATTGAATTTTTTGCCGAGCATGTAACCAACTTTGTTCCAAGGGGTAAATTTGGAAGAATTGCAGAAAAAATAGTCCATAAATGGAATACCTCTACAGAAACTGGTGGGCATGTACTGCTGCCCGCGCAGCATGTCTCCTTTTCATTCCCCGTACGTAAACATGACCAGGGACCCAACAAAAAACAATATTTTTAAGCTTGAAAAAGTTTCGGCTACCCAAAAGTTGGATACGGAAGACAAAGGGGTGATGTTCAAATTTCGTATAGCCTGTAAAGCACAAAAGGAGTCTGAACAACCACAAATATGACACAGCTAGATGCAATAGGGATAAGGCGTAAGGAGGAACAATCAGCAGTAAAAATAAAAGCCAAATATAAATGCCCTTGTACGACGCTGTCCGGAAACACTGCGCACCTACCCCAAAGTTTAAAGCCATCGGTACAAGCAATGGCATGAAATTAGAGTAAAAGTGGTAAAGAAAATGAGAGCGGGAACGACCGTAGACATTTTGGGCTTTCGAGCAAGGGAGGAGAAAGAACAACTCGAACAACTGAACTCCCGGGGGGTGGGGAAAAGTGAGAGCACTGTACATTAAAAAGGGGGG